GGTGATGACGTTGACGCTGTAAGCGCGGAGCTCGAGCGCAGGAAATCCAACCAGGCTCCAAGCCAATCCTCGCGGGGTAGACAGACGATGACTGACTACCCTCTAGAGACCTATTTGGGGCGCCAGGGCAGGCGGGAACAGTCGCCCCATCCCGATGTTGATTCCGATTTTAGCCAGACGGCCATTGGACGGTCTCTTGGCTTTCATGATTTTGAACAGGATAGTCTAGACGATACACCGGAACACACGGGACGTCTGACGTCGGGGAGCGTGGGCAGTCCATGTATGTCATCTCGCGTCTCGCTTAGTCTGGATGATTCACAGTCGGGGCAGGTGACGGCTATAGATGGACAGCAGGAAGGGAATTTTGATTGAGAGAGAGGAGGCAACAGGTCGGTGGGACCAGGATCGAGAGTGGGCTCGACGGGGCGCATATGGGTACCGGCGGTGCTGGTGGGATCGCAAGCTTCAATAGCGCCTAGTGTACTCAATAGATTAAAATGGCGGGCCAATGTGACGCCGTACGATAGTAAATAGAGTATTTGCAGCAGATATCGAGACCAAATTGTAATCGGATGTGGTTACCGAAAGTCCCAGAACATATGGAGTACGTTCCAATTACGGCTAGAAAATCCCGACGACGTCAAATGAAAGTGTGAAATCAGGATGGAAGAGGTGGGTAATGTAGGACTCGGGGCACACGGGAGTAGTTCTTCGAAGTCATGAGACACAGGAGCAGGGACAGGAACTTAGGAGGAGGATAGCGGACGAGACAGGCGGTGGAAGGCAAGCGATATAGATTAAGTCATCCAAACAGAACTGGCTTTAGACGGACAGGATTGGAACGCGGGGGGATGGTTGATGAGCGTCACGGCGAGAGGCAGAAGCAGCAGAGATTCTCCGGACGCAAAGCAGGCGTGCCTGGATGGCCGAAACGCCGGGCGGGACTTGCAGGGGCGTCAGGACGGCGGGCAGGAGGTCCAGAGGTGTCTGGACGGCGGCCGGGAGTAGTAAGGGCATGAGGACACCAGGCAGGAGTAGTAGGGGCGTCGGGACGCTAGGGGGGAAAGGGCATGGATTGCCAGGACGCCCGGAACCGAGCTAGCAAGGGTCACAACGCAGGGGGGTTGGAGTGCCGCGCGTCCGGTGAGGGTCAGGATGCAGGAGGCTGCGGATGCGAACGTCAGGACGCAAGAACGGATTTAGCCGACGTCCTGATTAACGGTTTGTGTCCTGTGCGTCCTGTGCGTCAGACGCACAGGACGCACAGGACGCAAGAGTAAATTTTTGCTGATGTTATAAGGTAGTTGTGTTCGACTTCGATATTTTTGGCTACGATGGTAAAACTCTTGATCCCGTGTGCCGAAACCCGGCCGATCCCTACTCTGTGTCTGATGAGCTTCTAAGGTGGCACTTCCGCCAATCAGTCCTCGCAAATGTCAGAGGAGCAGGGGAACCGATCTTCGAGAACGACTTCCCTCCAGGGACCGATATGATGCGTGGGATCCTAGCTGGTCCCTATGCACGAGAGAGATTTGAGTTAGAGATAGCCGCTAGGTTGGAGGGGGTTGCATAAGGGCAGTTGTCTTGGCCTCGGGGAGATTCTGCGGCCGACGATTTAATGATACTGGCCGCGCTATCATTGCATTTTCGACAGCCCGGGCAGTATCGCAATGGAGGTTTTACAAGTGAAAAATAGTCACAAACGAGAATATCAACTAGACGTGCTAATAAAAAATGTCATTCAATGGGGGGTTTTCTGGCCAGATTTTCTCTCTTCACACCCATCTTTAGGCTAGCTATTGCCCTGTAGTTGGGATTGTTGCTTTTAGGCAGGTAAGGGAAGTGTTTCTGCAAAGTGCTAGGGTTATAAAACGTTTCACCTGTATCAAAATGTGTGGCAAGCATTATAGCTGGAGGTTGCTTACCTGGGGTTGTTTTTGACCCTTTTTATGTGTTTTTTTTCTCCCTTCTCTTTTTAATGTAGATATTCTGTGTGATTTATGATACTGATTCTACTGTCTACGAGTGCGGCCGATAGATATATTAGTCACGTGAAATTAGTGAGAAATTAGGACTTAGAGCGGCAGGGTAGCAACTAGCATGAAAAGCAGAATATCGTCATTGCCACAACATCCTCTGGACATAGGACTACCTAATAACATTCTTGAAAACCAAACTATATACCAACAATCAGGCCATTTTTTTCTCTTTCAAGTGGTCTTTTTTTTTTTCACACTCTCTCATCAATCCTGCTATGGTGTTTTCCATCTGTGTTGTTGCAACTTGCTGCTTTGCTGGTTTCTTGTTATCTTATCACACGTGACTAATATATCTATCGGCCGCACTCATACCGTAGGTCTATACCCATGCCAACGTTATTATGTCAACTTCTACCTAGGCCCTCGTGTATAAGCCCTCTAATATGCACATATACCTTGACTGAAGTTCAACCCATCGCCTCGCTTGAGCCTGCATATAGCTCTCTATA